AAAAAAAAAAAAAAAGAAAAGAAAAGACCATCTTTCTTTCTGTGTGGGCATGAACAGAAGAAAGGCCATGTGGAGGCCATGCCTGTGGCTGAAAAGGGTAGGGTGCTGGCCCCATATGCCAGAGGTGGCAGGTTGAAACCCAGCCCCGGCCAAAAAAAAAAAACAATAAAGAAAGGCCATGTCCTGGCTCAGCACCTGTGGCTCAAGCAGCTAAGGCACCAGCCACATACACCTAAGGTGGCAGGTTCGAATCTAGCCCGGGCTGCCAAACAACAAGATGGCTGCAACCAAAATATAGCCAGGTGTTGTGGTGGGCACCTGTGGTCCCAGCTTCTTGGGAGGCAGAGGCAGGAGACTTGCTTGAGCCCAGGAGTTGGAGGTTGCTGTGAGCTGTGATGCCACAGCACACTACCCAGGGGAATAGCTTTAGGCTCTGTCTCGGAAAAAAAAAAAAGAAAGGCCATGTGAAGACACAGCAAGAAGGCAGCTATCTACAACCCAGCAACCCAAGGAGAGGGGCCTCACCAGATACCAACCCTGCAGGCACCTCGATCTTGGACTTCCAGTCTCCAGAACTGTGAAAAAATAAATGTCTGTTGTTTAAGCACCCAGTCTATGGCATTCTGTTATGGTAGCCCCAAACAGACTAATGCAGCCCCACAGTTCGTGCTTTTTCCCTTCCTACTCTAAGGGAACCATTTTAATGCACGTAATGTGAACTTTTTTGGTTTGTATATATTTTTGAAAATGTGTAGTGTATATCCGGTATATTTTATTTTATTTTATTTTTTTTTTTTTGAGACAGAGTCTCACTCTGACACCCTGGGTAGATTGCCATCATCATGGCTCACAAAAACCTCAGTCTCCTGGGCTCAGATGATCCTCTTGCCTCAGTCTTCCACGTACTGGGACTACTGGCACCCGCCATAACTCCAGGCTACTTTTTCTATTTTTAGTAGAGATGGAGTCTCTCTTTGCTTAGGCTGGCCTCAAACTCTTGAACTCATGTTCAGGAATCAACCTGCCTCAGCCTCCCAGAGTGCTAGGATTACAGCCATGAACCCCTGAGCCCATCCCTAGCAGAGAAATTTTAATGTACACGAACTGTATATGTTTATAAAAATGGTCATTCTGTTAATTTCTTCATTTGGCATTAATTTGTAAGATTCATCCATATTGTCATGTGTACACATATATCCTATCCTCCAGCTTCATTTCTAGTACAGTTCCCCCTCAGGTAACCTTAGAAGAGGTGCCTCTCTGGGCCTTTCTTCCCTCACACATCAAATGAGATTGGAAAATTCCTGGCATACTGAATTCACAGAGGTTTTTCAAAGTACATGTGATTATAGAGATACATAGCCATTAAGAGCCATATAAGCCAGGCATGGTGGCTCACACCTATAATCCTTGCTCTCTGGGAGACCAAAGCAAGAAGTTTGTTGGAGTTCAGGGGTTCCAGACCAGCCTGAGCAAGAGCAAGACCCCATCTCTACTAAAAATAGAAAAATTTGCCAGGCCTTGTGGCGGGCAATTGTGCAGAGGCACCTGTAGCCTCTGGGGAGGCTAAAGCAGGTGGATTGTTTGAACCCAGGAGTCTGAGGTTGCTGTGAGCTACAGACACATGGACACCATGGCACTCTAACCCATGTGATACAGTGAGACTCTGTCTAAAAATCAAAAACAAAACTGGCTAGGTGTGGTGGCTCACACTTGTAATCCTAACACCCTGGGAGGCCAAAGTGGGTGGATTGCTTGAGATCAGGAATTTGAGACCAGCCTGAGTAAAAGCAAGACCCCCATCTCTAAAAAAAACCAAAAAAGAGGGGTGTTGTTGTGGGTGCCTATAGTCCCAGCTACTCAAAAGGTCAAGGCAAGAGGATTGCTTAAGCCCAAGCGTTAGAGGTTGCTGTGAAATATAGGCCATGGCACTCCACTGAGGGTGATGTGAGACTCTGTCTCAAACACAAAAACAAACAAACAAACAAACAAAAACAGGGTGGCGCCTGTGGCTCAAAGGAGTAGGGCGCCAGCCCCATATACTGGAGGTGGTGGGTTCAAACCCAGCCCTGGCCAAAAACTGCAAAAAAAAAAAAAAA